GTCGTGGTGGCCCTCGTGGCGGCGGTGGTGGTGGTCGCGGTGGCAGAGGTTTGTTCACGACAACTCCAACCTGGGACTGAGCAGTCTTTTTCTGTGTGTGTGTATGTGCCAGCACGATTGCGATACACAGCGATTTCATGCTCTGCATCTTCAGACCTGATCTCGTGTGCTTTGCTCTCGAAAGCGGACCTACTCGACACTGACCTGCGGTGTCCTTCTGGGGGATAATGATGCTAATTCGTTCTGTTCGCGGTCTCTAGGCGGTCTCGGTAGCGGTGGCCGTGGTCGTGGTGGCCCCCGTGGTGGCGGCCGTGGCGGCCGTGGTGCTCCCCGTGGTCGCGGTGGTCCCCGTGGTGGTGGCCGCGGTGGTGCTAGCGGTGCCAGAGGTGGTGCCAAGGTCATCATCGTAAGTGTTTCCCATGCTCTCACGGCGGAACGAATCTGTCAACTGACACCCTCTGCGTAGGAGCCCCACCGTCACGCCGGTGTCTTCGTTGCCCGTGGTGGTAAGGAAGATTTGCTCGTCACCAAGAACCTTACTCCCGGAGAGGCTGTCTACGGTGAGAAGCGCATTGCCGTCGAGTCTCCCGCCGAGCAGGATGGTGCTGTGACCAAGACCGAGTACCGTGTCTGGAACCCCTTCCGTTCCAAGTTGGCTGCCGGTATCCTGGGTGGTCTCGATGACATCTACATGCGTCCTGGCTCCAAGGTCCTGTATCTCGGTTCCGCCAGCGGTACCTCCGTCTCCCACGTTGCCGATATCGTCGGCCCTACCGGTAACGTCTACGCTGTTGAGTTCTCTCACCGTTCCGGCCGTGACCTGATCGGCATGGCCACCCACCGCACCAACGTCATCCCCATTGTCGAGGACGCCAGACACCCTCTCCGCTACCGCATGCTCGTCCCCATGGTCGACGTCATCTTCGCCGATGTTGCCCAGCCCGACCAGGCCCGTATTGTCGGCCTGAATGCCCACATGTTCCTCAAGAACGAGGGTGGTGTCATCGTCTCCGTCAAGGCCAACTGTATCGACAGTACCGCCAAGCCCGAGGTTGTGTTCGCCCGCGAAGTCCAGAAGATGAGAGAGGAGAGAATCAAGCCCAAGGAGCAGCTGACCTTGGAGCCTTTCGAACGTGACCACTGTATAGTGTCTGGTATCTACAAGCGCTCTGCATGAATTTAAAGAACAAAAGAATCTGGTGGTCTGCTTTCTCATGTTTTAATTATTTATGCTCTTTACAACCGGCGTCGAGTGTTCCGTGATATGCTGAAATGCTTCAACTTTTTTTTTTCTCTATATTGGTCGCTCTATCAAATCGTGTCCTTGCTTAGGTTTCCCTAAATGTACTTCTTAAGACAGAAATTCGAGGGTTACGATATCTGGTTGGTTTAAATGTACGCTCTAGCTTGTTGACTGCTTCATTGATGAGTGTAACCCCTGCCTCGGGTGGATGTAGATATCTAGATCTGTGGCGATATGTCATGCGGAGAACGCAACATATGATAGCACTGCGTATGCGTGGACCAAGTTCGATAACTCGGACTTTCGCCGGTTGTCCGGTCGTAGCCTAGCTCGGCAGTCGGATTATGCGCCGATGGAGTGAATGACCAGCCACCGGATTCGGACTTGCTGCGTTCAACTCAAATCAACAGGCTCTGGTCAATCAGGTTATGGTGATTGATGGAAACGCAGGATGGTCGATCCGAGGGCGTGGAGCCGTGGGATGTGCTACTTATTGGCATCCTCTCCGCTCGAACCCCGCAGCGTGCTGGTATATAGACTTTACCACCTGGCATCACTCCTCACCACCTTAAGCAGCTACCTGACACCACCTACAATACAATCTCACCTCTGGAAACCCGCCTCGCGACAGAGAGACATTCCAGAACTACAGCATGTCAATCATCATCACCGGCGCAAGCGGCTACGTGGGCCAGGAACTGGCCGCGGCGCTGCTAACCACCTACCCGGAGATCACGGTGACGCTGACGGACGTGGTCACGCCGACGGTCCCCGCGACCGCCGCGCAGCACGCCGCGCGAACCCGCTGCCTCGAAGCCGACCTGACCTCGCCCGCGGTGGTCGACGAGCTCTTCCCCGCGGCGCAGCCCTACGAGACGGTCTACCTCCTGCACGGGATCATGTCCAGCGGGTCGGAGGCCAACTTCGAGCTGGGGATGCAGGTCAACCTGGACGCGACGCGGCGGATCCTGGACCGGCTGCGCACCGCGACCCCCGGGGTGAAGGTGGTGTTCACCTCCAGCCTGGCGGTGTACGGGCCCGCGCCGACGACGGGGTTCGTGATCGACGAGACCAACTTCCCGCCGGTGCCGTCGTCCTCGTACGGCTCGCAGAAGCTCATCGTCGAGACCCTGCTGAACGACTACTCGCGCCGCGGCTTCCTGGACGGCCGCGCCGTCCGCCTGCCCACCGTCACCGTGCGCGCCGGCAAACCCACCCAGGCCGCCAGCAGCTTCGCCAGCGACATCATCCGCGAGCCCTTCCACGGGCGCAGGGCAGTTCTGCCAGTCCCCAAGGACACGCAGATGTGGATCTGCTCGCCGCAGACGGTGGTCAGGAATCTCGTGCGTGCGCGCGAGGTGCCCGCCGAGGCGTTTGGGGATTCCCGCGCGGTCAATTTGCCCGGGTTGTTGGTCAGCATTCAGGAGATGTTGGATGCGTTGGAGGAGGTGGGCGGGCCGGAGCGTAGAGCGCTGGTCGAGGAGAAGTATGATCCGGATGTGGATCGCATCGTGCAGACGTGGACGCCGAATTTCAACACGGCCCGGGCGCTGAGGTTGGGGTTTGTGGAGGATGTGTCTATGATGGAGAATATTCGGCAGTATGCGAGTCGGTTTGTGTGAGGGGGTGAGATAATGTATTGAAAATGTGGTGGTGATGGTGGTCGTCGTGGTAGTTGAAGCTGTTGCTATCTTGTAGTATGATGTATGTATGAAATGAATGAATGAATGGCCGAGTGCTGCTGCTGCTAAGGAAACAGTCGGGATCGAAAGCGGTGGTTTGGAAAAGCGGGTCATGTGATTGGCTGGCGGATGGGCGAACAATTTGACTCCCGAACTTCAACCTCGCCATCTCCAGGCGCTGACCGTCTTGTTACACCCTTCCTTCATTCTCCCTCTTTCCCCCCCTCCCCCTCCCTCCAATTCACTCACCTCATCTATTACACAATGGCCTCTAGGCGCCTAGCGTTCAACCTCAACCAGGCTCTCCGGAGCCGGGCTGCCCTGAAGGCTGTCCAGCCCGTCAAGCGTGGCTTCGCTTCTCCCGTTACCCTGCCTTCCTCCACCCAGACCACCACCCTCTCCAACGGTTTCACGGTATGCGCTGTCGTCTATCCGGTCTCAATTGCTTCTGACACTCACTAACGGGACCTAGATTGCCACTGAGCACTCCCCCTATGCTCAGACCTCCACTGTTGGCGTCTGGATCGATGCCGGTAGCCGGGCAGAGACTGACAAAACCAACGGCACTGCGCACTTCCTGGAGCACCTTGCTTTCAAGGTATGGCTCCCAGAACCGTCTCAATCTAGATGCAGTAGCTAACAATCTGATATCATCACAGGGCACCAACAAGCGTTCCCAGCACCAATTGGAGCTCGAGATCGAGAACATGGGCGCTCACCTGAACGCCTACACCTCGGTACGGACCGGAAGGAAAAGTCTACTTGAGAATCGCGACTAACGCCCGATTGCAGCGCGAGAACACCGTCTACTACGCCAAGTCCTTCAACAACGATGTCCCCAAGGCCGTCGACATCCTCGCCGACATCCTCCAGAACTCCAAGTTGGAGCCCGGTGCCATTGAGCGCGAGCGCGACGTCATCCTCCGTGAGCAGGAGGAGGTCGACAAGCAGCTCGAGGAGGTCGTTTTCGACCACCTCCACGCCACTGCCTTCCAGCAACAGCCCCTCGGCCGCACCATCCTCGGCCCCAAGGAGAACATCCAGACCATCTCCCGTGACAACCTGGTCGACTACATCAAGACCAACTACACTGCCGACCGCATGGTCCTGGTCGGTGCCGGTGGCATCCCCCACGAGCAGCTCGTGAGACTCGCTGAGGAGCACTTCGGTGCCCTGCCCAGCAAGCCCCCTACCTCTGCTGCTCTGGCCCTCACCGCCGAGCAGAAGCGTACCCCCGAGTTCATCGGCTCTGAGGTCAGAGTCCGTGACGACACCCTCCCCACCGCTCACATCGCCCTTGCCGTCGAGGGTGTCAGCTGGAAGGATGACGACTACTTCACCGCCCTGGTTGCCCAGGCCATCGTTGGTAACTGGGACCGTGCAATGGGCAACTCCCCCTACCTTGGCAGCAAGCTCAGCTCCCTGGTTGAGCACCACGGCCTCGCCAACAGCTTCATGAGCTTCTCTACCAGCTACAGCGACACTGGGTGAGTTCTGTCTCTGTTTGGTGTCGATAACGCGTACTGACCGACATGTGCTACTAGTCTCTGGGGTATCTACCTCGTCTCCGAGAACCTGACCAACCTCGATGACCTGTGCCACTTCGCTCTCCGCGAGTGGTCTCGCCTGTCCTTCAGCGTCACGCCCGCCGAGGTTGAGCGTGCCAAGGCCCAGCTCAAGGCCTCGATCCTCCTCTCCCTCGACGGCACCACCGCCGTTGCCGAAGACATTGGTCGCCAGATCATCACGACCGGCCGCCGCCTCAGCCCCGAGGACGTCGAGCGCACGATCGGCCAGATCACCGAGAAGCACGTGATGGATTTCGCCCAGCGCAAGCTGTGGGATCAGGACATCGCCATGAGCGCCGTCGGCAGCATCGAGGGTATCCTCGACTACCAGCGTCTCCGCTCGGACATGAGCCGCAACGCTGCTTAGATGTGCTGCGCTCGGTGTAGGTGAGGGTGTCTGTTGCGTTGTCCACCAGGAATTATGGCAAGTGTTTCTAGTTTTGGTGATTTTTAATAGATAGAAGCGGTGGTCGTGCCGAGGAAGCGTGTCTTGTACAGTACACAACTGTCGCTATATCAAAATGTATTGTTTGTTAAGTTCAGCCTTCACCCTAGGGTGTTGTATGAGTAAAGGGTGGCAAGTACTGTCAACCTCCAAAGCCTTGGACCGAACCACCCATTCAACAATTTGACCCACCGCAGCCACAATAAAGAAAGGTAAGATAACCCAACCCCAACGCTTCCAAAGCCATCAAAGCCATCAAAACCATCAAAACCAAAAACCATCCCACCGCCCCCAGGCAATCAAATTAAGTACAAGAAATAGTTAACATAAAATAGAACCATCAGCTCAACCCCCTACAGCAACCACTGGCAGAACGCAAAATCATTTATACTCCATCCCCGCAGGAGCCTGATACCCGCCCTTCTCCAGCAGGCCGGCGCGGCTCTCGGCCTCCTTCTCGTTCTGCATCAGCGTGCAGCACGGGCAGCAGAACGACTTGAAGCAGTCGCCGCACCCGGACCCCTCGAGCTGGAACTTCTCGCGCAGCTTGCCCCGCTTCATCATCAGCGGGATGAAGCCCAGTCCGCAGTAGCCGACTAGGCAGTAGAGGCAGCACTGGTTTCAGCATTAGCTTGGCTGGGGAGCCGGGGGGGGGGGGAGCGGTTTGAGGGATTGGGGTTTGAGGAATTGGGGGTTGGGAAGGTCGGGTGTGGGCGCTGCTGCATACATCACCATTCATCGAGCCATGCTCTTTCAGCGCGGGGTCCTTGAGTCGCGAGGCGGTGCGGCCGAAGAGGCAGCAGGGGCACCAGAAGGCGAGGCAGCCTGTTGTTTTTGTTTCTTGTTAGGTTTGGATGTGGATGTGGAGGTGGATGTGGATGTTGGATGGGCGTACAGATCTTGCATGGGGAGCAACAGTCCCAGAAGCCGTTGGTCCATTCTTGGCCTTCGCCCATTGTGGATATTTTTGGGGGCGATTGGGTTGGATGGAGGTGAGGTTGATGGTAGGGATTGTATTTGGGCAGTGTGAACGACAGGGACTGGGTGTTGAACGAGTGGAGGGATGAGTGGGCGGTAACGTTATGGGTTTAGGTCAGGTATGAACGAGAGGAAATAGTCTCGAGGACTAGGCTGAGAGTCGAGCTTTTGAGGTTTGCAACGCTGAGGGCTGGGGGCATGGGCGTGGCATGGCCTCTTAAATAAGACAAGACATGCCATGGGGCCGAGTACGAGGTTGTCGACGGTATTCACTGCACAAGACACTAACTACGGAGTATCAGGAGGCTTGGTTTTTTTATTTTTTATTTTCTATTTTTTTTTTTTTTTCTGATGTGTGCTGTGTGGTGCTCGTGTCGGAAGTCTACAGTACTCGTAAAAAAGGGACACATACACATGGGAATCAGCCCCAGATCCACATGGGTTGGACGCTATACATCCATTGTAGTCTATGGTAGGTACACTCTAAGCCTTGCGTGGCACAGACAGATAGAGAGAGAGAGATGTTTTGGCCCTAGAATTGCACGGGTGCTGCGGTTGGGGGCCAACACCAAGGATGCCACTTCCAACATGAGCAAGCAGGTACCGTATGTACATCACTTATCAGGGGTTGTTTGCTGTGCTTAAGTCTCTACAAAATAAAGTTGCTCAATTGCTTTCCTCATGGTTAGTAGCGTACAAAAAGAGTTTCGATCATGAAGCATCACGAGGAGAAAGAAGATCATCACCGAATACTTCACATCTAAAATGAGGTAGGGCGTCTTGGCTGGCTGTGTAGTCAAGCCCGTGGAAATCGCTCACTTCAGCCCCCCCCCGGGTTCAGCCCCGTTTGAGCCTGGGTTTGAGACAACGGCTAGAGCTCCCCAGATGCATTGCATTGGATCGGACTCAGGTGCGAGGTACAGTACTGTACTTATTTCCTGTGTTCATTTCCCCCTTGTCAGAATGATAGACTACCCCTTTTGCTGACTGCTGACTGCTGACTGCATCGGGACCCTGGTCTAGTCTACACTCTCTAGGGCGTCTATTTGCCAACCCAAGCTTTTTTTCTCTCTTCCGCTAGGACAAACCCGCTATCGAAAGCTCAGCCATAGCCACTGTTATGACAGGGATCTCAGGCTTTAGTGCTGTTGTGAGGTCTTTGTGTTTCAGCTCCTCTGTTCTCCTTTGAGCTGAAAGTATTCCCTGTTGGCGTTGAGGTGCTTGGTGTCTACGATGGTAGGAAGGCGGGCTGTAGGGGTTAGTCAAGAATCGCCAAGGATATATAAACTCAAGACTTCGGATCCCGCTCGCTCACAGGAACAAAGCTGATTGGTAGTAGACTATGCGAGGCTCTTTTACGTCCGGGCAATGGCCTGCTGGATGTTCAAAGATCGTAATCCCTCCAACATGCATGTGTTCCCGGCAGTGACGATAAAAGCACACGCAAGCACCAAGAACGACGGTACTTTCATTATCCAGTGGCTGGTTGCATACCACCATCCTAAACGAGCCTGCATGGTGCAACGGCTCAGAACCTGACTCCCCACGCCCAGCCACGACAAATCCCTCGAGCAACGACGAATGCCCCTGCAGCCGCAAGGAACAACACCCCGGCGAAGATAATGACGCCTCCATAGCTGTGCTGCTCGATCACCCCCGCTAACCCGATCCCCAAGAGCATCCCGATGCTGGCAATGCTGTACGCGATGCCACTTCGGCTCCCATACTCCGTGGCGCTGCATGTCTGGGAGATGCAGACGGGCGACAGGCTCAGCGCGGCACCGGACCAGAACCCGAAGCAGCCGGCATAGCACACGAGTGCTCCCAGGCTGTCTCCTGCTTTGTACCAGAGGACGAGGGTTAGAATTGCACAGATGAGAGTCGTGATGATCATCGTGTTGAAGCGGCCGAGGCGGTCGGCGGCGAGAGGCGGCAGGAGTCGGCCTGGAATGGTCCCGATATTTAGGAAAACGAGCAACAGGTATGCGATGATGTTGCTCAGTCCCGCGTGCACGGTGTACGAGGGGATATAGGTGCTCGGGATGAAGACGGCGCACTCGGTCAGAAAGATAGCAGCGGTCGTGGCGGCGAATCGAGGGTCTTTCAGTGGCTTGAGGGTCAGTTCTCTACAGCTGTCTGTCCTGGCGGGTAGCTGCGTCGTGATCAGGCAACAAGCAATGGAAAGCAAGGTAGCACTGATGAGAGCGATGATGCGAATCGACCACCCGAATCCGATCTTCGGTGCGGTGAAGTAGATGATGAGGGGGAAGATCACGCCTCCGAGTCCGCCGCCGGTGCAGGCTACACCGGTTGCAAAGGCCCGGCGACGTTCGAACCAGTGGCTTATGGTTGCCATGGCTGGGGTGGTGAGCGCACTGGCTGATAGTCCACCTAGAAAGCTGAGGGAAAGGAAGATCGAATAGTACTCTGGGTATTGTGAGCTGCTGCTGCTTGCTGGCCAGTTCTTTCAACAACATTACCATCACTAAAACTGAAGCAGATCAACGACAGTACCATGCCAACTGACCCCGAAAGGACCAAGTAAGTCGGCCCCCAAGCATCAAAGATCAACCCTAGCTCAGACGGTCAGTTCTCCCGTCTCCGTACGTCAAGTGCAGATATCTGTACACACCCATCGGCGCTCCCGCAAAATAGACGAAGAACCCATACGCGCTGTAAATCCAGCCATAGCTCGCCGGCTCGTAGTGCTGCAGTTGATGCGTGCTAGTCCATAAGTACATCGCCCCAGCGGTGTGCAGTATCCCCCAGGTCGGAACCAAGGCGCACCACGCTCCGAACACGACCAGCCATGCTCTGAAGCCTCCTTCCGGATATCCTGCGCCTGGTTGTCGCTCTATACCAACAGACGAGGCGGACGAGTACTCAATGTGCTCGACGTTCATTACTCAATGTAAGAGCCCTCAGGATCGTGCTCAATGCAAGATTACAGCCATCGAGAGGGTAGCGTCGAAACCGTCGTCTACGGTTCTTATATGCCTGTCTGTCACCCACGAGGCGGTGATCCTATGCGTTGGCGATATAGAGTTGACGCAGCGGGATGCAAGGGCTATATGCATCTTTGATGCACAATGACGACTGGTACAGAGGTTCTCAGAGTACGTGATGTGTTTGCTGTGCTTGTTTATGCTGTAGCATGATTTACTGGACATGGGTGTCAATTCGCCTTGCGCGGAACCGGATTGAAGCACTACATGGTGGGCCGAATTCATGGCGGTTAGCCGAGTCAACATGCAGGTAATAAATATATATCTACTTAGAATCTTACCACCAGGCAGCTTGTGTGATAGAGTAGCTGCGGCATCATCATCATCATCATCATCATCATCATCATCATGTGCGAATCCTTGGTATCTGATATCACATCTGGCGAAGTGTGGTCATGTCTCGACGCGGCCAATTGTGATGGTTTTGGTGGATGATATGATAGATTGCGCTATTTCACACATTAAGTACCCCATCAAAGTACAGCACAAGTTTAGTCCCTTCAAATGCAGAGAAAATTGACTGTCAATGGGAGAATCAAAGCAATACTGCCCTCTATACTCCGTAGACGACGGCTGTTTTAGGACTAGCTTGGATGCAATCCAGACCCGTTACATAAGCGCTCATGGCGAGCGGGCGAGCTTTGCTGATAAGATTTCTGCAGCGGAGAAATTGCGGCCAGTCCCAGCCCACTCCAATCTCTCATACCACGACTCGATCATCATGGGTAAACGCGGAAAGAAGGTATGTGTGGCCTTCTGAACCCTTTCCAACCCCTAGAGCACCGCTGCTCTCGGTTGATTCGGCTCTTGTCGTCCCGAATTCATGCTGATCCTCGGTCGCAGGGTGGTGGCAGAGGCGGCGAGCGCAAGAACTGGCAGCAGATTTCCAGGGAGAACGAGAAGTTCGAGAACTACTACAACTCCCAGGGTTTCGTCCCGGAGGAGGACAAGGAGGCTTTCTGGGCTGCTCTCAAGAGGGACCTCCCCAACAGTTTCCGCTTCACTGGCTCTCGAGGGTACGTTATGCGCAAAAACACAAAAAGAGCCTATCGTTGCGTAACAACCCCGCAGATAAAAGCTGCGCGATAGGCTATACTTGGCTCATTGCTGACATTCATGATCGCGCAGCCATGCCCTTGCCGTCCAGAAGAAGCTCAAGGATCAATATGTCCCCGAGATCACCTCCATCAAATATGAGGGCAACTTCGTCGAGCCCCCTCGCCCCGTCCCTTGGTATCCCGACGAGCTCGCATGGTCCATGACCACCCCCAAGCAGGTCGTTCGTCGCTTTGCGCCCTTCGCGTCTTTCCAGAAGTTCCTCGTCGCCGAGACCGAGGTCGGCAACATCAGCAGACAGGAGGTCGTCAGCATGATCCCCCCGCTCCTCATGGATCTCAAGCCTGGAATGACGGTTCTGGACATGTGTGCTGCCCCTGGCAGCAAGTCTGCACAATTGATGGAGATGGTTCACACTGGCGAGGAGGATGCTATGCGCCAGGTCACGCAGCAGGTTGCTGAGGGTACTGCTGGCGAGGAGCCTATCGGACCCGAGGGCCTCAACGATGATGGCAGAACCACCGGCCTGCTCATCGCCAACGACGCCGACTACAAGCGTGCTCACATGCTTATCCACCAGATGAAGCGCTTGAGTTCCCCGAACCTGATTGTCACCAACCACGACGCTACCTTGTTCCCCTCGATCAAGCTGCCCTCCGAGCCCAGCGTCAACGGCAAGCCTGGCAAGGCCCGCTACCTGAAGTTCGACCGTATCCTGGCCGACGTGCCCTGCACTGGTGACGGAACTGCCCGGAAGAACTGGGGGGTCTGGAAGGATTGGAACGCGAACAATGCTCTTGGACTGCACGCCACCCAGGTCCGCATTCTAGTTCGTGCTCTGCAGATGCTGAAGGTCGGCGGTCGGGTCGTCTACTCCACTTGCAGTATGAACCCGATCGAGAACGAGGCTGTCATTGCCAGTGCGCTTAGCCGCTGTGGCTCTGCCAACGTCCGCATCGTGGATTGCAGCAAGGAGCTTCCTGAGCTGAAGCGCGCCCCTGGACTTCGCAACTGGAAGGTCATGGACCGCGAAGGCCGTTTCTACGATAGCTGGAAGGAGGTTGAAGAGCGCAAGGAGAAGGAAGGCATCAGCGGTCTGGGCAGAATTGCTGAAGGCATGTTCCCGCCTACCGAAGACCTGCCTCTTGAGAGATGTCTGCGCATCTATCCCCACATGCAGGACACCGGTGGCTTCTTCATCGTCGTCCTGGAGAAGCTGTCTGAGATCCGTGCCAAGCCCGAGGACTCCTCCAAGGTCATCCCGAAGGCCTCTGTCGCTGCCCTTGCTGAGGAGCTTGATTTCAAGCAGAAGCAAGGGAACGGGCAGCCCCTGGAGAAGATTGATGCGTTGGATGACCTCGTCGCCCACGACAAGGAGGCTGACTTGGAGGCCCAGAAGAACGCGACCGTTGCTGAGGCTACACATCAGTTGCCTTACTCGGCTACCAGCGAGCCCGTTCCTGTCAAGCGCGATGCGGAAAGCATTGAGGATGAGCTCCCCGCTAAGCGGACCAAGCTTGAGAATGGCGCTGAGGTTATTATCGGCGACCGTCCTATTCACACTCCTGCACAGCCTGCCGTCACTGACATTGAGACGTCTGATGCTACTCCGGCTCCTGCTGAAACCACACAAGCCTCGACCCAGTCGAAGCCTCAGCTCCCGCAGAAGCGCAAGAACGGTCAGCCGGTGGAGGAACCATTCAAGTACTTGGATCCCAACCACGCCGAGCTTGACCCCATCTACGAATTCTACCAGATTTCCAAGCGCTTCCCCCGAGACCGTTTCATGGTCCGCAATGCCGAAGCTCTCCCCACGAGAACCATTTACTACACTAGCGCCCTGGCTCGCGACATCCTTTCCTCAAATGAGGGAGCCGGTATGAAGTTCGTGCACTGCGGTGTAAAGATGTTTGTCAAGCAGGATGTGCAGCGTGAAGGTGTCTGTCGCTGGCGTGTACAGACTGATGGCTTGAGAATGCTCGAGCCTTGGCTTGGCCCAGCTCGGGCCGTCACCCTGACCCAGAAGGAGACCCTACGTAGCCTCCTCGTGGAGATGTTCCCCAAGGTTGACCAGGACGGTTGGAAGAACCTTGGAGAGATTGGCGAGCGTGTCAGAGACATTCCCATGGGATGCAGCATCCTATACATCAGACCTACTCCGGGCCAAGAAGGATTCACGTACGTATACAAACCCTTGCTTTAAATCCACGACAAAGGCTAACACAAGACTAGTGAGAACATGGCCCTCCCCCTTTGGCGTTCCATGTACTCTGTCAACCTGATGCTTCCCAAAGAAGATCGCCGCGCGATGCTCCAGCGTCTGTTTAACGACCACACCCCGCTGGTTAACACCACACACAAGCGCTCTGGCGAGACCGGATCCTCGACCCCTGCGGTTGAGGAGGCTAGCGGAGAAGAGACCCCTGTTGACGCTCCTATGGAGACGGAAGAAGACCTTGAGAAACGTGAGAACCTTGTGTTGGGTGAGGCCGAGCAGGAACAGATGGATGCTCGGGAGACTTATACAAAGGATGGCGACGAGGAGGATCGCTTCAACACGACTGTTTAATTTAAAAGATCGATTTAGGCAACATTTACTGGGCGTCGCTTAGCTCTCTGAAAATAATTGAATATTCCTTTGCTCTTCTGAAATATTTACAGATGATATTCACATTCATGTTCAGCAAGAATAAGACACTGAAAGATGATGGGGTGACGCAAACCGCAAGGTAACCGACCCGATTCCCCCAAGGTTGACCGATGCCTTCCCGAAAAGTCAATGATCAGTTCGCAACCTGAAGCACTGCGCGCCCAGCCAATTGACCTTTCTTCATCTTCTCGACCCATGAGTTGAGGTCTTCGAGTCTTCCCTTGACCAAAACAGGCTATTTGCTATTAGCGCGACTGACTCGTGATTTAGGTGGTAGTGATGGCGCCTTACGTGAACGACATCTCGTGCGGTGAAATCCAGAGCCTCTTCGACGTCTTTCAACGTTCCTGTCAGGGTACCAACAATATTCAATCTCCTGAGAGACAACAACATGGGAGGAGCCCCCGCGAGCACGGTGGGATCCGCAGGCAGACCGACAGCCACCAACGTGCCATTCGGACGAAGATATGTGGGCGCTGTCGCATACACTGTCTTCGTTGCAGCTGTCACGATTACTCCATGTGCGCCGTACGTCGTGATCTTCTTGATCTCCGCAGGAATGTCTGTTGTCGTTAGGAAGTCAATGAACACCTCCGCCCCAAGCTTATGGCACAACTCTCGTTTATCATCACCGCCATCGATAGCGATGACTCGCATGCCCATCGCCCGTGCATATTGAATCGCCAGATGACCTAGGCCACCGCCAGCTCCGGGGAGTACAATCCACTGGCCAGTTTTGACATTGGACCTAGTCAAGACACACACATGCTCAGTATAGCTCGACCGTCATCAACAAGAGTAATGGTTACTTACCGCTTGCATGCAACATAGGCAGTCACTCCACCGCACATGATAGGCCCTGCCTCTTCATCCGAAACCCCGTCGGGGATTTTGGAAGTATACCGGCCATCAGCCACACAGTACTCTTGGAAGGTACCCGGGGTGGTAAACCCGCTGTTGATCTGTCTGAGGCAGTTGACCTCATCCACGCCGCTCAAACAAAACTCGCATTCGCCGCAGGTCTTCGCAATCCACTTGATGCCAGCGCGGTCCCCGATGCTCCAACGGCTCTCCATGCCTTCGCCAACCGCTACAACAACGCCGACACCTTCATGTCCTGCGACCCCCTTGCTCTGGGGCTTCATTGTCACCCCAAACCCGGCCCATTCATCCTGAATGAGAGACTTATCAG